TCAACACAGCAGCTTGTCATGTCATACTTTTTCTGCCTCGTCTAATATCTTCGAGTGCTCTTGCGACGTTTTCTTCATTGTAATTTTTGAAATTAATGCCGATTTTCTTCTTATATAGCACCTAACCATAGTGTCGGCCTTCCCCCCTATAAAAGGACTTTTTTTACTAAAACACCATTATTAAAAAAAAAAAATAGTTATTTATGCAATAAGTGTGTAAAGTGATTTTTTCTACTACCAATCAAATATGTGTAAAAAAATAAATTTAGACAAATTCTTCACGCACTAGTGCGTAAAGTATTTTCACTTTACGCACTAGTGCGTGAAGTAATTTACCAGACAAATAGTAATTTGACAGGTTGACATCTGTCATTGACATTACTTTACGCACTAGTGTGTGAAGTGAACTACTTTACGCACTAGTGCGTGAAGAGAAATTTTACGTCTTCTGGTAGTAGAAAAAAAAATTCTGACCACGTGCTCTACGGCGAATTTATCTAGCAAAAATGCACCACTCTCAATTCTCATGACACTCGAGCTAATAGTCCGAGATCCGGCTGCAAATTTTTGGATCGATCGCGTAACCACTCGAAATTGCAAGAATATTGAAGTTTTGTATATAAACTTTGAAAAATGCCATGGTGCCAGTGAAGTTTTGGCCGAAAAAGCAATAAAATTTTTTATTTATTGCTCAATTTTTCAACATTGCTTATTTTCGAGGGTAACCAAAAAATCCCTGTTCCGGAATATGCGCGGCAATTATGCGATGCGAAAAATGTATTGGTGCCACCTCCCAATTATCTAGGTATATTGAAACATACAGAAAAAAAAAACATCAACGCATAAACAAGAAATATCCTAGTAAAAATAGTTATTTTCCTCACAAGTGCGCAAAGTATTAATTTTCTGCAAGCAAATCCAGTTTGTATAGATGATATAGAAACAGAGGAAAAAATTTTTTCATCCTGTGTTCATTGCACTCAATGCGGATGAATACATTATGCGCACAAAGTGCGAAAAAGGGTAACTTTGAGCACGGAAATGCGTGCGGAAAACTACTACTTTGCGCACGCTCGTAGGAAATAGTTATTTTCCTAACAAGTGCGCAAAGTGTTACTTTTCCGCACGCAAACACAGTTATACGAACGACGCGAAGCGGAGTTCGGATACGTGTTTGCGTGCGGAAAAGACACTTTGCGCACGTGTTAGGAACAAAATTTTTCCTACGAGCTTCATATCAGGTAGGTAATAACAAAAATTAAAAAAAAAACGATAATTTGTTTAATTATTTTTAATTAACTTGAAGGGAACCTATGCATTTATCAAAAAATTACATAACAAAAAAAAATAACAGAAAATCCTCATCAGACCTGTTGTTCATCTTAAAGCTTTTAAATTTGATGAGAAAGTTTGTAGATTTTTGCATATAAATAGAGAACAAATCTGACAATGTGTCAAAGTTAATTTATATTTGGTGTTTGTATAGATGTTGGCTGATATAGAAACAGAGGAAAAATTTGTCATCATGTGTCAAAGTCGACAGGTGCACCTATTGTTGCTTGACAATTATAATTACTTTTCGGCACTCAGTGCGGATAAGGCCTGTATCCGCACTGAGTGCGGAAAAGTGTAACTTTGAGCCCGGAAATGCGTGCGGAAAAGTACTACTTTGCGCACGCTCGTAGGAAAAATTATTTAACCTAAATCTAAAACCTAAAGCAGTAAAATTCTTCGGTTATTATGATTTTTAGCAAAAGTATCAACAATATTATCGAGATTCATATTTTTAATGCGATCTTTTTCAATACTTAAAATAGATACCGCAGAAAGTCTGTCATTAAGCATTGTAGTTCTTGCATAGGTCTTAACTCGGTTCAAACAAGAGCAGAGTTGATGCGGGTATTGTCATAGCGATTTTTGTTAATACATAGATATTTTCAAAAGCTGGATAATATTCTTCTAGCAGTTACAATAAGTCTTTCATTGTTTTGATTTCTGTTTTTTTTGAAAGTAATCTTTTTAAAAGAATACATTCAGCTTTTAATGTTTCTTCTTCCCAATCTGTGCAAATATTATTATAGGAACCAGCAATGGATAAAAGGTCTGATACATTTAAAAAGTTTTTGTGTCCTGGCTGCAATTAACTTAATTCATTAAATAACTTCTTATTATCCGAGAAACGGGACTTAGTGATGCCGCGAGACGAGACTAAAATGACACTCTCGTCTCGTCTCTTCTCGTCTCGCCCTAATCTCGTCTCGTCTCGAGGCCATTTAGTCTCGACTTCGAGACGAGACGAGACGAGACTAAAAGAAGCGAGACGAGACGAGATTCTCGACTAGTCTCGTCTCGTCCTTCAAATAATCGTTTTAGTTTCTTTTTCAATAATGTTTCAAAGGAGCTACCTACAGGAAATCTTTTATTCGATAGTAATAACGAAAGCAATGGAAATTATCGAAAATTTTTGGCAAATTTTCCCGAATGCATTTTCAGTTGAAAAAGAGCACGAGTGCCTTTCTCAGTTGAAAATGCATGAGTGCAAATTTGTCAAAAATTATAGATATATTTCCATTGCTCGAGTTGTATTTTATAATTGTATGAGAGAATTCCATGAATCAAAAATTTGAATTTTTAGTTTACCCTCGTAAGTATAAAAATGTCACTGGTCGCCAAAAATGTCAAATGCCACCCGTTAGTGTGCAATTATCTGATAATCCTGCACTAGTGCAAATTATCACGTAATCGCAATCTGATTGGTTGCAATCAACAATTAAAACATGCCAGATCATAGTTGGAATACCAGTTTTGACAGATGAATGAAATTCTAATGAAATTCTCTTCAAGATTGATGAATTCATTAACTACTTCTCAAGGTTATGAAAAATAAAACACGCCATATTTTTGTATTTATGCACTTCAGGGATTAAAAGTACCCTTCTAATCCCTGTTTTAAGGGAGTAAAGGGGGTCTTTTAATCCCCGGGATTAAATTTCACTTTATTTCCCGGGGATTCAATTTTTACTTTATTTCCCGGGGATTTAATTTTTACTTTATTTCCCGGGGATTAAAAGTACCCTTTTATTCCCTGTTTCATTTAATCCCTGGGAAATATAAAGTAAAGTGCATAAAATAGTGTATACATTTCAGGACTAAAGTGTTTTGAATCCCTCTACAAATTATAGCCCTCCCTTCGGTCGGGTTATAAACTTTTTGTCTCGGGATTAAAAGTACCACTTTAGTCCCTAAGTGTTTAACGTACTATATGATTAGAATAATTATCAGTATTAGTCTAAGGAGGCAGTGAATATTTTCGGTACTTATTTTCCCAGTCAGCAAACACCGATAGAATTATCCGGTTGGTTATTCTAAGAAAAATTCATATATGTAGGGTGGGGGGGGGGGGTGGTTCGATGGGTTGAGGAGGAAAGAAGGGACTTTGACACTGACAGTAGATATGTGAGTCAACCAGGGTTGTTCCTGGGGAATTTTCGTGTGTGCCTGCAGCGACACTCAAATAGTGCCAAATAGTGCCACTTGAGAAAAAGTGATAAGAAATGATTTTTTGACTTTATACTCATTTCTTTTTATTACATGATTAAAAGGGGAAAGATAAAATATATTTCATATATTAAATTCACTATAATGACAATTGACAGTCACGTCACTGTCACTAGTCACACTCACATCGACAGATCCGATCCAAGGTGTAACCGAATTTTCGCGACGAATGTACAGCTTATTTTTTCCCAAAGATTTTGACATTGTCAACTTTGAAATATAAACGATGCCGCTAATGCTGCTTATTAGTCGCAAAATGCCATTTGCACGACATGCATTGTAAAACTGATGTCAACCTGCAGGGACACCTCATTTTGCGACCAAACAGAGCCGCAATAAGCGTTATTGTTTTTGTTTCAAAGTTTTCAATGTCAAAATCTATCTTGGGAAAAAATAGACTGTAGTTCATCCAAGGACGAACCATAGTTCATCTGTGACGTCATGAGTTTGAACGCTGGCTAGAAGCTGCGTCCATACTTCCGTCGAACTACTTCAATATGACGTCATGAGTTTCTCGCAAAAGCGTTTGTGTTGATGAAATCATGGAAGTAGTTCGTCGCGAAAATTCGGTTTGTGTTCGTTTTTGTCTTGCGGTTTTGTCATCTTTTTCGTCGATTTGCTCCGAAATTTTGACAAGCACGTGATTTGTGAATTGAAACTGTCTGATGCAGTCACGTGCCTATCAAAATTTCGGAGCCATTAGACGAAAAAGATGACAATAACGAACACAGCCCCAATGACCTGACAGATCCATTACAATTCTCACAGGTCAGGACTGGGACTGTCTAATAATAAATGTGAATTGTGCCAAATTTTTCAAAGTGGTGCCACTGTGCATTTTGCGGGCGAAAAGGGCCACTTTTGGCACAATTGTGCCCTTTAAACAACACTGGAGTCAACAGAAAAACCGATTTTGACATACCTATTGTCAGCAACCGTATTCCGTATATGTATACCGGTTATTCAGGCAGCCGACATCTACTGAACGTATAACCGTAACCAAGGATGGAAACGGAATAAAGCCTTCATAAATGATAGGTATATGGTATATGTACGAATTTTTCAACAAATTATCGACTTCCCCCCGTAATGAATCTCCCAGACCTAACTTGAATGCAAAAACTCTTCTGAACTGTGCTTAAGGTTCAACTCCATCATTCTCAAATTCCAAAAAATACCCACAAGGCATCATTAATTCTCCACAAATTGTCAAACAAATTATCGTTTTTTCCCCGTAGTGAGTTTTCCAGACCTAACTTAACTGGAGAAAATATTCTCGAATGTGCCTGAGGGTTATTTCTACCTTTTCCGAATCCCAGAAATCGCCTACATAATATAATAATTCTATTTGATTCAATTTCGCGGTTTTTTAATTTTTCTTTTCAATAATTATCTGGTCGACTGTAATATACACGAATCTGAATATGAATATGAAGCTAACTTCAGCCACGTGCGGGCAGCTGCTTTTTACGTTTGGGAACTACTTCTGAACTGTCGCCAGTTACCGTCCATAATTTGTCCACTCTTTCCCAGATGGCATCCCAATATGAGCTTTGATCTCTCATTAATTGTAGTTGCTGAAGAACCTCTTCTACCAAAGTATTTGCACGAGCATAGTCCATTTCTTTTGATTGCAAATAGTCAGATAAACAAGATATTATGCTGAGAATATCTTTAAAGCAAACTATGTAAGTTATAAATGTTTTGGTTAAGGAATGTAGCAATCCTTTGGCTTCCAGCCCTCTGTCAGTATTGCGAGAAGACACCAAATATAAGGTAACATACAAGGATTCAAATGTATCTTCAAGCACGCACGCTACACATTTTGTACTGAATTGACCATCTTGTGTGTTGAAGCCGTTTTAGTTCTTTTGGTTGCTTACCAGGATAGAGTCTTTTTTGTACATTTATAAATTCCGTATGTATAGATGAATGACTTACATACAACTGCTCCGCCATGTTAAAAAATTGTGAGAACTCTGGAATACCTTTACAGCAGTCTACGATGGCCAAGTTTAGGACATGATTGTAGCAATGAGCGTAAACTGCACTGGGTACTGGGTACTTCTTTTTTGAACAATGCTTGAACACCTTTCAGATGACCACTGTTAACACTTGCGCCATCATATGCTTGGCCTACGCAGTTTTCCATCAAAACACCGTTTTTTCAATAGGGTTTCTCTTATTGTGGTAAATACCGACTGCGCATCAAACTTTTCACAGTGAATAAATCCTAAAAATATTTGTCATTTCTGACTTATAGATGTACCTCACAATATAATTGTGACTCACAATTGTTGACATTTGTTCTTTTTTTAACAAATCCTTGGTTTCGTCGGCTAAGACTGAATAAAATTTAGCTTCGGCAATTTCGTCTCTTCCGGATTGCAGTACTTCATTAGAAAGTATTTCCAATAACTCATTTTGTATACTGGAATGAAGGTATTTCGCATTACCCCCAGCACTTGAGATTTTTTTTTTAAATACAGGGTCGTGATTTGCAATGAACTCAGTTAGTTCTAAAAAGTTTCCTCTATTTGCACTTCCTCTGGATTTATCGTGTTCCCTTTGCGTAATTTCTAATTTACAAGTTAATAGAAGAATTTCAGCCAGTGTTTTGATGTAATACGGATTTTCTTCAATGAGTCCATTGTTTTTATTTTTAATTAAACTTTCTACGCCACCAACAGAACTGGATCTTTGGAACTCCCTAAATCCCACCAAACATTCTTTGTGAGCTATTGCAGTAAATCCCGAATTAGATTCCATAGCTTTTTTCCACTTATTATAACCAATGATAAATGGTTTTTCCTTCACATCTGCTTTGTGGAAGAATCTACAATAGAAACAAAACGCTTTGTTTTCTATTGCTGAATATTCCAACCAAGGAAATGTTTTATACCAGTTTTTGTTAAAACGCTCTTAAACGATCACCTATTTTTGTTACTGGATATTCCCTTAAAATCGGTTGTGAGGGCGGATCATGAGGAGTTTTTGATAAATCTAAGGCGGTAGGAAACTGGCTCCAGTTATTTCGTGCTTGCTCCACATTACAACTTGACGTCGACGGTTCATTGATATGTTCACTCGATCTATCCGTACTTTCTGTGCCATTTTCATCCTCGTTTTCATCTATTTCTTCTTCCTGCTCAGTCTCATTATTTGCTATTTTCCTTTTTTTGCTTTCTAGTGATCTGATCGTTGTTGAAAAATAATCTTTTATTGATCTTTTACTGGTCATTGTTGGTCTTGTTTCTAAAAATAAAAAAGTTAATAGAAATATCAAAATGATAGGCGAAACATAAATTTTTAATTTAATCCCCCACCCCAACCATAGAACCCATATTAAAAATAATATTTCCTATATGCCTCCAAATCAAAATTAATAATTTTAAACAAAACTTACCTTTGATTCCTTTCAACTTCACACAAAATAATTATTTGAGAATGATTAATACCACATAACAATTACAGTCAATATAATATGTGCCTCAAAACCTTAAACACACTGCCGTGCCGACATTAAAATGTTTAGGGGAATCCCAGGAAAGCGATAGCAGTGTTGGTTGCCTACTAGATATAGAATTAACTGGCAGATGCCGCCAATGTTGCATTGCATATGCATTGTTGCCAATGTATGCGTTGTTCTTATAGGCTGGTTCAGCAGAAGCAGGCTACTGCTAGAATCTTGTATTGCGTGACTTAGTAAGTAGAGTAATAATAATTTCGAGTTTCGCTTATCGATATTTCTATTCTCGATACGATATTTTTAAAATATCGATACGCTTTAAGTGGCATCGATATTTTAAATCCATATTTTGATACTTGTATTGATATGCTTATTTTTTTGTGGCGCCATCTGTAAGCACCAAAGAAAATGACAAAAATTGAAAAAAAAAGTATTTTTTTTTCTCCTGCACTATTTTTCGAGAAAGGGAAAGAAACATACGTTATATTTTGCTATTTGACAACATGATTGTCCTTTTAGGCCTCGACAACATTGCTAAAGACTGTATCGATACGTATCCGATACGATGCAATAAATATACATCGATAGAGAGTGTTTCTAATCTAAATTGGTATCGATACGGTGTGATATACGCTAGTCGAACTTATTGCAGATTGCAGAGCAATCAACATTTTGTCATATTTTTGATGCAGACTTTTTTCATGCGACTTTTGGCACGAGCGCAAGTTTTCAGGGGGGGGCGGCTAAATTTCAGGGCCCGCCCTGGCGTCGCCACTGACTTTGGTACTGCAGGTTTCGCCAGAAAATTGGAAAATAATCGAGATAACGTCCCGTGATAATTGCGCATATCATTGGTGCCAGGCACTTCCGGTGCCTACTTTGTTTTTTAATTTTTCTGGACGAGGGTAATACAAATTCAGGACATACAGTATAAATTCTGGGCATTTCTATTATTGCAGAGAAAAATGCCATTTAACAAATTCAAATAAACAATCCATAAAACTGTCCAACAAGAATTTTTTGGGTAAATATTAGGAACCAATAACTTAAAATTTTATTTTAAAAGTAGTACCTACCTACGCAAATTAACAAATTATTTGAAGAATATAAAAAGTTAAGTACCTAGTACCTACATAGGTACCAACTTATTGATACAGTATCTAAAATCCTATATTTTTTTTCACTTTTTGCAGCTACCATTAACTTCTTGTTACCTCTTACAAAATCATGAAATTCTTTGCAAGTAGGTAGGTACATTTAGAAATAATTAATCTTCATTTGCAGTTCTGCCTTGATGTGTTCAATGCACAATCGATAACGCGCATCAGTCCACAAAGCTGAACGCTGAACGCATTGAAAAAATCCTTTCAGCGTCATCATTGGACCCAAATATAGAAAATTCAAATTGCAAAATGATCCACAAATTTTTCAACACAGTATTAGTCAAAAATAATAAATTCCATTTTCAAAGAATGTATGATTTTCTTAATAAACCAGAACCAGGTTTATAGCCGGCTTAATTTGACAGAATTCTTCATCAAGTTGAAAATTAGGTACAATAGGCGCAGAGCTGGGCAGGGCTTGAGTGCTTTGTGCTTGCGAAAGTGCTTGAAGCACTTTGAGGACTTGAAAGCCCTGTGCTTCAAGCCCTTTTATAGATTTGTAATTGGGGCTTGCAAAGTCAATTACTTTAGAAAAGTGCTTGGTAATTTGTAATTGAAAAAAGTAATTCAAGCCCTTTCAATGAGCTTCAATTACTTTTAAAGGGCTTGAAGCACTTTTGGGAGCTTGAAGCCCTTTGAAAGGGCTTGAAGCACTTTAAGAGGGCTTGAAGCACTTTTGGGAGCTTGAAGCACTTTGAAAGGGCTTGAAGCACTTTAAAAGGGCTTGAAGCACTTTAAAGGGCTTGAAGCACTTTAAAAGGGCTTGAAGCACTTTAAAAGGGCTTGAAGCACTTTGAAAGGAATTTGAATTGACCATCATTCAACCTATCCCCCACTTAAACATTTTCGATCGTGTTTTGTCCCTTAATTTTTTTTTCTATTATTTGAAGTTGAACCGTCTTATATCTTTTCTCTCTTAACAATGGAGGTTTTGGGTTTGAGCTTAGAATGGAATTTAAAAAAAAAAAAGAATGAACTTATTATTCAAATAAATAAATAATTTATAGGTACCCTATTTAACTTTATCACTGGATTTTTTTCACTTTTCCCGATTGATAATTTTGAAAACCCTAAAATTGAATTACCTGTAGTACCCCAACTACCCCAAGTACCCCAGAACTACATCTCAAAAAAAAACATACTACTGCTACGCTGTGAAATGTAAAGTTCGTCTCTACTATACCAATTCTGTGTGATGGAGTGTACGCGGTAACTTATACCACTTTGAGAATTTTATTACAAATTCAAAGTGCTTTAGGCACATTTAAAGAGCTTCAAGCACATTTAAAGAGCTTGAAGCACATTTAAAGAGCTTGAAGCACATTTAAAGAGCTTGAAGCCTTTTTCAAGGCACCCCAAGCACTTTTGATGTGCTTCAAGCACTTTTCAAATCACTTAGAGGGCTTTGTGCTTGTCAAGCCCAAAGCACTTTGAGGGCTTTGTGCTTGTGAAGCACTTTTGAAAATAAAAAGGAATTTGTGCTTGAAATTGAAGCACTTTGATAGAGGGCTTTGCCCAGCTCTGAATAGGCGTCCTGCAATAGGTTGCTACAGGACGCTGGACAATGAACCCCAAATGGTGGACGTCCACCGAAATGCAGGACGGTTGGCAACCCTTCTTCCGGTCGGATTTGAAGTGGCACCATTCGTTTTTTTTATTGGAAAGAACAGTACCTTTCATTTGATACCTCCATCAAGTGGTTACGTGATGCGGATGATTTGCTGAAAAAAACTACCCCTTCACATGCTGGTGCCGCGACGACGCGGCCAAATGGGAGGTGGCACCAATACATTTTTCGCATCGCATAATTGCCGCGTATATTCCGGAACAGGGATTTTTTGGTTACCCTCGAAAATAAGCAATGTTGAAAAATTGAGCAATAAATAATTTTTTTTTTTTTATGTTTCTTTCGGCCAAAACCTCACTGGCACCATGGCATTTTTCAAAAGTCTATACACAAAACTTCAATATTTTCGCAATTTCGAGTAGTTACGCGATCGGTCCAAAAATTTGCAGCCGGATCTCGGACTATAAACTAAGCGGAATATGCTGGTCAGTGGATTTTTTGGGTGTCTCGATACCCGATATCGTAAAAAACGCCGGCCAATACGCAATTTATGATTTATGATATACGTAGTAGACAATTTTGCTGAAGGCTTCTTTCATGACTAGTGTCACGCTGCTTGAGGCACTTACCTAAATTGTTATTGTTATTTTAGACGGAACTTATGAAATTTTATTACCTGCCTTTTATGTATAGTTTTTAGGACTTACTTTGTACCTTTTGCTTTGTCAGTGATTTTGTTAAGAATTAGGACAATAAAGCTTTATTGAATTGAATTGAATACCTGTCTGTCCGAGTTCACCCCCACAGTCCGACTTCACCCCAAATGACGGTACTGTTTCTGTTTATGCCGCTTTGTGCGGCGATATGATTGTCGGTTTTAGAGACAGTACAATGCATAACCTACTCTAGTTTTTTCGATTAATTTATTGATTGATAATTTTAGTTTTTATAAGAGTTCTGACAGTGGATTGAAACGGCGCCGCGCCTGTTCAGCAAAAAAAATTGAGAAGCACGAGCTTAAATTGCACGAGTGATCGACTTCCGTGCATACCCTCCTGTTGGGTTAAATATAGACAAGACGACAAAATTACTCTTTTTGCTGATAATCGGAGCCGCGCCGCTCGAGGGTCTGTTCTCACAAGTTACAGAAATTACAAACCAGTCACAGCGTTTTCGATTGGTGCAGATCGCCAACAACCAGTTTTCTGACTACATATTTTCAACCAATGAAATTCGCTCTGACTGGTTTGTGATTTCTGTGGAAACAGAGCGCCAGTGTACGGAGACAAGATTCTCTTGTCGCCCCTCTTTTTCTACTCCATCACCAAAACAATCAAAGAGTGCTTTGATTACGAAAACGTACGTCGCATTATTGTTTCTTTATTGGTCTGGATTTTTGACATTACATTTTGACATTGAAGTTTATTGACAAAATTAACGAAAAATAATGCTAATACATACGTTTAAAAAACCATAGCAATCAGGGCCGCAACTAGAACCCTCGGCGCCCAAGGCAAGTCCAAATTTTGGCGCTCCTCCACCGCCTTCTTAAAAATAACAATAGATGTATGATGCTTTGGTTTTTGCTTGAAATTTTTTCAATACTTTTTCGAAATATATATTTCTGGAACTAATTGAGGACTGTCGTAGAGCGCATGCTCAGCTCTGGAATTGGACTGGTTTTTTATTTTATCGCGAACAGTTTTGGAACGAGTTCTTCAGGCTGTCTAAAGCCGGCTACACACGGTCTGACAGGCCTGTCAGTTTGAACATTGGTTTGAGCTGAACAGTCCGACTGAAGACCGGTCGCCTGCCTGAACGTGCATATATCACGGTCGTTCTGTCAGTTCAGACTTTTCAGGCGGCCGAATAAAAATCAAAAATATGTTCGTTCATCCGGCCAGCCTGACGTACTCAAAGGCCAGTCTGAAAGTCTGTATGACACGGTCGACTATCCGAATAGTTCAGTCGTTCAGTAGTGAGTAGTGAGCTTGTTACGCTATTTCGCACGAAATAGAATCGAAATTTATCGCGATTTATCATAGCAAGCCGTGTC